CGACAGCGATTACGTGCCCTGTCGCGCTATTTCTAAATGATACCGCTCTCATCTTCACACTATGTGCGAGGCGCGTCACCTTTTATGCACGGCCAACGCCGCGCGCCACCTACCTCGTTGACGGTAGTTGGCTAATATCGACACCCCACCCGTTACGTTTGGCAATATCGTGCCAGTCGCACCCTACGGCACAGGTCACAACTAAAGAGTTCCTCGTTCAGCAACAACAGACAGTTACACTACACTCTGGCTGTAAGGCCGAGTCCAAGCACTTTTCTCTGCCATCATATTTTCACCACGAAACCGCTGTCGATGTGCAAATCGAGATACCCCCACTCGACCGCCTGTTCCACCACGCAGTCCCTACAATATGGTCGGACATGTACGACGCCAAACGCCTGTCAACTGCTGACTCGGAAGACTGGATCCTACCAGAAGTTGTACCTCCTAGTTCATATGCGCACGCTGACCTCGACGTAGCATACGCTGACCTAGTAACTGCGGTCAAAAACACCAAACGCCTGCCATCTATTGCCTCGTCATATACAGCAATAGGCAGCTCAGATATCACGGCCGCCACGCATCATTCCGTAATCTATATCGGCCTCACATCTCTTCTGCTCACCGTTATAGTCGCCGTCACATACTGGTATTGTTGTCGGTGCCGCCGCCCGCACACCCCCGAACCCCAACCCCAACCGAGTCCCGCCGACCGCACGCCCCTCCCTCGCCGACGTACATGGGTCGAGAGTACCTCTCCCTCCCCTACCACAATAAGACCCCGCTCGTTATATTCCGCTATGCCACTCACGGTCCTCGAACCTCAGCTGCGAATGGGTTCCTTCGCCCCAGAAACACCCACCCTCCAGCCCCACGTAGATGGTTACCCAGGTCCATCCTCCTTTACCAACACCCCACTGCCCACCTCGATACTGTTACGATCCCCTCCCGATGTCAATATAGTGCAGGCAGTGTCCGACACTCCCTCCACACCTCCACCCCCAATGGCTATGGCTAGGGCCTCCCCACTCACTCCCATACTACACCGGCATATTTCGCTGCGATCCCGATCGGCGCAGCGTACGATGCCGACACCCGTTCCCTGCCCAATAGCCGCACCCCGCGCTGTGTAGCCGCCCCTCAAGCGCCACACTTCGGAGGTTTGGCTAGCTGGTCAGCAACATGAATCGCCAGTTCAGTATGTACTCTATAAGTGGCCACTATTTACTTAATACCGGCATAAGAATAGTTTTACACCTCCGACAACGTGCAGCGTATTTGCCGCTAGCACAAGTAGTAATCGATAGCGGGGATAATTCTATTACCTCGCTCATTTAATAGCAGGTATTTGTCATTAGCCATTTAAGGCGGATTATTACCTTCTATTCATTCCGCGGATTGCATGATACACGACCGCACTCTACAAGCAGTTTTGTGCCTTTATGGCACTAACCGGGCAGTCGCTATTATATACTGTCCCGGCTAACTCGGTGCCACGTATTACGTCCACCAATTGACATTGTCAGGAACAAGCTAAACGTCGGAGACGGGCAACAACCCGAACAGCAGCAGCCACCGACGCTGTCGTCTCCGCTGCCGGCAGACGCTGGCGCCGCCTGCGCTTGCTCCGTTTGCGCCAGAGCCACGTATCGCACCTGCACCTGCGCACTCTGCGCCAGCGCACCCTGCACATGCACCGACTGCGTCAGCGCCAACGCACCCTGAACCTGCGTCGCCTGTGCTGAGGCCGCCCGTGCCTGCATGGCCTGCACGGAGGCCGCCCGCGCCTACGCCTGCGCCGGGGCCGCCTGCGCCTGAATAGCCTGCGCCGTCGGCGGCGCCTACGCCACTGCCACCCGCGCACGCGACACCTGCGCCTACGCCAGTGCCGCCTACAGTCGCAACACCTGTGACTGCCAGGCCTGCGTCACAGGCCAGGCCTGGCAGCAGCCGCCAGGAGCCCGATTTCTTGGCACGGCAGCGCTGAGCCACCCACGCCCGCAGCCAGACTCCACGGACGGCTCACGGGACAACAGCTCCCAGAATGGCGATAGGCCGTCACCATTTCCGGAGGCGCAATATATTGGCTCATTCGTCGGGACGGGCACAGCCGACGACCCGATGACGTATGAATTTTTTGTTGGCGAGGACGACGACCCGGAGAACACTACGTTCAATCCGGACCACATCAGCCAGATTGCACGCAATCTGGCCCTGACGGCCTTGATGTCCGCAATCTCGGAAACGTCACCCCCCCCCCCTAACAAAGATGAGGAGGCAGACGACCGCTGAAAGGCATCGGCGGTACAAGTACTAATGTACGGTGTGGGCTATAGACCCACACCAGTAGTCCACTCATTATATATTACTTACTACATGTTCTTTTATTGCTTATGAAATTATTGCGTAGTGCCATGAAATTATTGTATATGAAATTATTGTGTAGTGCCATGAAATTATTGTGTGCGAATTTAAGGTGCGCGAATTTATTGTGTGCGAATTACTGTGTGTGAATTTATTGTATGTGAAACTACAAGTTTTATGAATTTTAAAATTTAGAATGACACGTAAGGCCAGCCAGTACGTTCATTGCTGGGTCGATCCTGGCACTTAAGTGCTAGCATCGACGTCCTAACAGTAATTGAGTAACTGAGTTGTAGCCGTTTGTGTCATTGAATTAGTCTAGGTCCGCGTCTCTCTCTAGAAGTCGAGAGTGCACGAGTCGAGGCGATTGAGCTAGCTAGTTGAATAGAGCCCTAAGTGAGGAGCGTGTCTGTGTAAACAGTTTGGCCGGGAAGGCAGAAGCGCTCGGGCGATGAATCCCTAGCGAGGGCCTGTGTCAAGATGATGTCACGGTAGTGTAGATGACGCACGCGTGACGCACGCGAGGCGCGGTCGTGGCTGCCTATATAAGACAAGAGCCGGGGAGAATCGGGGAATTCGGCTTCACACCCAGGCACCGGCAGGCACGACCGCGACCACGGCTGTATTCGCTCGCATGGTAACAACTGGCTTTCTCTTATTCTTGGCTTAGACTTAACGTTGTAACATAGTCATACTATTCGCAAGCTGTCAAGGACGGCACTACAATACAGTAAGTAGTAAATGTGTTCTTTGAATTTGTTTTCAGATTAACCGTTCAGAATCGTTCGTGCGTTCGTTCGTTAAGTTCAGATACGTTTGTTCAGCTACGTTCGTTCAAATACGTTCGTTAAGATACGGTCGTTCGATCGTTATGTTATATAAGACGACATTAGGCAGAAAATAAGAGAATAAAGAAGTCTTAGAAGAACGTGTGTGATCCGCTGGTGCTTGTTACGAAGAAAAATAAATAAACCATTTAGATGTAAAAGAAACAAAGAAATTAATGTAGTAATTTGCTACAATATTTGTTGTTTCTTTTATAATCTTTTTAACACAGTCTTTGTCATGTGTCTTTGTATGCTCATTTTCCTTCCTACGTCCTCTTACTTTTTTTTCTTCTCTTTCTCTTTCTTTTGGCCGGCGTTTTTTTTTTGGGGGGGGGCGACCGCCCCCCCCTGGCTACGCGCCTGGGGAGGCGAAGATAAATGTTTAATTTGTGGGAGAGGAGAGTTGGAGAAACTGGAGGCTGGAGCACTTTTTACTAGAATGTCCCAGGGGCGTGTACATGATTTGTACCAGGGGGAGTCTAACCGTAAACCAAACTTGCGAGCACGCGAAGGGGGGGGGGTCTGGGGGCCCTCCCACAGAAATTTTTGAAATTAGACCTCTTTAGATGCGTTTTCTGCGCGCGACCAGGGGGGGGGAGTCCGGACCCCCTGGTCTCCCCCCCCTGTACACGACCATGTGTCCTGGATACGAAAACCATAGAAAAAAGTTTTTTAATATGATTAAACGTAGAACAGGGAAGGCAGCAGGTACACACGGTAGTAGGGTTTGGCAGCAGCCTTATTGTAATATTACTATATAGTTCAGCTTATACTAAACATGCAGTACCTGCATGAAGATATACTTTGGGGAGCTAGATCAGCTGCACTCACAACATATAAAGGGGACACGGAATGAATTTTGTCTTTCTTTTTTTATTCTTTGCAGGGAAATACCGATCTAAAGGTTCCAGTCATACATAAATATACATGCATATAGATATAAGATAACGAGCAGGACACCCGGCATTGCCGCGGGAAATGAAGCTGCTTCAGTTGGTGACTCACTTGGTTGAAAGAAAAAAATTCTGACAAAAATATCGATCTATTATATCTATATCTATGTATATCTTTCTAATCTATCTATGTATCTATGGGACTATGTATCTATCTATGTATCTATGTATCTATCTATCTATTATATCTATCGATCAATCGATCAATCTATCTATCTATTCTAGTCATGCATCTAATTATGTATGTATATATCTATCTATCTATTCATGTATCTAATTATGTATGTATCTATCTATCTATTTATCGATCACTCTATCTACTTATCTATCTATCTATTTATATATTTATCTGTCTATCTATGTATCTATGTATCTATCTATCTATATCTATCTTTTTAACTTTCTATCTATTCTATGTATGTAATCTATTTATATATTTATCTGTCCTATCTATCTTTCGACCTCTGTTTATCTATCTATTATCTATCTATTTATCTATCTATTTTATCTACCCATCGATCTTTCTATCTATCTATCTATGTATGTATCTATCTATCATATTAATATATTTTATCTCTCTATCTATCTGTCTATCTATCTATCTATCGTGTCCTTCCATCCATCCATCTATCCATCCATCTATCTCTATCTATCTATGTAACATATTATTTCGAGATGTTACATAAATTAGTTAGAGACGCGGAGTGCGGTCTAGACAAAGGGTTTTTGGTGGTAGTCTATGTATACAGAGCCTCGCTGTATCACACCGCGTAGTCTTGTTCTGTGTTCCCGCCTGTATGTGTGAAGGGTCACATGTCTGATCGTGGTAGTTGAAAAATAGCGGAATAGAAGTTACGAATAAACTATGTGTGTTATTAGCTCATCTGACATAGTCAGATGCAGCTTGTAGAATCGCACGATCGTCCGTGCTGCGTGCGTCGGCCGTCCGTCGCGTCAACAGTTGGCACAAATCTTAAAGCGCTCGACGTACGGTCACGATATTCGGAACATCGGGGGGGGGGATCGTCAAAACGAGTTGGGATGTCGAAGCTGGGGGTCAAAGGTCAAAGGTCAAGAGGTGTAAAAGAAGGGGGAACATTCACCCTTTAACTTAAGTATAGGGAAGGAAATGCAGAATTGCGGCACAATCTAAACAGCTCGACCTAGCTCGTGATATAGTCGGTGTATAGCATCATGATAGAAAAAGCCATCACTGTGCCGAAATTGGAGGTCACAAGGTCAAAGGTCAATGGGCACTCAGGGCAGATTTTAGACATTTTCTGAGGACATGGTCTTGACGGAGCAATTGTTTGTTTCAGGCGGTGACCTAGCATTTTATGGCTTTATTGAAAGGACCATATGCAATGTCGCCTTCTGCATGACATGCTGAAGAGTAAGTGTCGATAACCTTTTGACGCCTCAATAATGAGGGTTGAACATAGGATTTGTTTACTGTCTGTTAGAAAGAATTTGACTGCGCGGGTTTGCTAGTAGAATCTATAAATGCTGGATGTATGAGGCTACAATGTCACAGTGAAATTTCAAAAGCTAATTTGGTTGAAGGAAGGTTTATGCTCCTTAAATCGTATAATTGCTATGGCATTCTGTACTGTCAGTATTTTACATGCTAACGTATGCCACTGCCAGTGGCCACTGCAGTGCATGTGGTGGTTTGGTGGTAAGGACATACTGTGTAGTTTTTGCCTAGCGTTAATTAGTTTAGCAGGTGGCCAGCTCTCTAATTGCAGCCTGTAGGCTTTGCGTAGGAAACTGGGATGAGTGCTTATCCTATTCGGTTCTGTTTCTCTCTATTTTTTTGCAAATAGGTTGTTGGCTAATACGGTACGGATGGGAGACTTCCATCTTTACATCTGAAAGACACTCTAACACGCTACGGCGGACATCCCGTGCACTTTCATAATGATCCCAACGAACATATGCCTTTGAGAAGTTCCTGATACCATCCCTGTGCATTCTACTGTTTCGGCGTGTATCTCAACACATTTTGGCGAACTGAACGAGGGTTTTACTAGAATCCCACACACTCACACGCACAAGTCACGCCGCAGTAGACGCATTGAGTATAGCGCTGTCGCTCGCGGGGCACTTGTCTTCACTCTGAGTTATGTTTATACTGGCGTGTTACATGGTGGCAGCGTGCTGCGAGCGGTAACAGACTATCAACAGTGAGTACAGTCGGTGACACTCGTACTTTTTTTCATCGGAGGACAATCGTGTCCGACAAACAACATCGCCAAGTTAAGTGTCAGCGCCACCAACTACCCGGGAACTGCGCCGTGAGCAGGTTATACGCCGTGCCCTATCCGAATGCGGGCTGGCGTTGTAAACACCTAGCCGTGACGAAGCGGCTTCGATACAGGACTGAAAGCCGCTATACTGACAGACTTGCAGACCAACGTGCGTGCTATTCATAGCCTACCCTGTGGATGTACAGCTGTGACTGACCGAGTGATACAAGTCTATCTACGTTATCGTGTGTGTGGCCGCCCAGCTCGACCATGGGTTCAAGGATAGAGAACATGGCCCAGCAATTCGTCGTGGGATCAAGGTAGACAGACACTATAACAGTAAGAATGTACAGTCTGTAAGTCTACAGTACGTACCAAGTTCCTACGGTGCTGGATACAATACCAGGAATCAATTAACTCTATGTGCGTTATTACATCTACATGCACATGTATGTGCATTACAATTATGTACAGTACTACTATTGTGTAGAGCAACGTGTTCGCGTGGTATGATGTGTTAAGTGCTCATGTATTGATTATTACGATGTGTTAAAGGCTTACTTTAAATGGCCTATGTTTCGTAGTATGATGGTACACAAATGGCATATGTACCTACTGTTTAGAGCCACATATACAGAAAGTTCAGTGCGATAAATGCTGTATGACAGTACACCCTCGCGATATTTGCATACACAAGTACAGTAGTAGTGTAGATGCATGTATGTTGTACACATACCGGCATACACATCTTGTTGAGGTGACATTTAGTTAGTGCTCCACAGGGATCCAGTACGGGAGACCATGAAGATGATGTACAGAGGGCCAAAAGGGATAACCTTGCCCCACAGGCACAAGCAGGGGATGTTCCCGCCCAACACGTACAGGAGGTGCAACATTATTATAGGCCAAATATTAAGGCACCAGGTCCGGTAGACGTCACCGGTGATGACAAAAAGGTGAATTGGGAATTGCACAAGCAGATGTGGGAGAACTATTCCATCGCATCCCAGTTACAGCACCAGCCAAAGCGAGTACAGCGTGCAGAGTTTTTAAATAGTTTAGGTCGGGACACATTGCGCAACTACAATGGTTTAGGCGGAGTATTCTTATTACATTGCATTGGTCAGACCAATGAGGCAGTAGCACATTATTTGTTTTCCGCACGTGACCAACGTAAGGAGTCCGTAGACATGCATGTGGCTATCCGACCTTAGGACAAAGCAAAAGGTCATCACTTGGACACACCAAGTTCTAGTGGCAATGAGGGACAAGGTCAAAGCAAAGCTGAAGGACATGGAGTCCAAAAGGTATCATCGAGAAGATGGACGAACCCAGTGACTGGGTAAGCCAAATGGCAGTGACCGTGAAGAAGAATGGGGACCTTAGGATCTGTATAGATCCGAGACCTTTGAATAAGGCACTCAAGAGAGAGCATTTCCTAGATGCGTTTTCTGCGCGAGCAGGGGGGGGGGGGTCCGGACCCCCTGGTCCCCCCCCCCTGTACACGACCATGTGTCCTGGATACGAAAACCATAGAAAACGTTTTTAAATATGATTAAACGTAGAACAGGGAAGGCAGCAGGTACACACGGTAGTAGGGTTGGCAGCAGCCTTATTGGTAATATTACTATATAGTTCAGCTTATACTAAACATGCAGTACCTGCATGAAGATATACTTTGGGGAGCTAGATCAGCTGCACTCACAAACATATAAGGGGACACGGAATGAATTTTCTTTTCTTTTTTTATTCTTTGCAGGGAAATACCGATCTAAAGGTTCCCAGTCATACATAAATATACATGCATATAGATATAAGATACGAGCAGGACACCCGGCATTGCCCGGGAAATGAAGTGCTCAGTTGGTGACCACTTGGTTGAAAGAAAAATACTCTAAAAATATCGATCTATATATCTATATCTATGTATATCTTTCTATCTATCTATGTATCTATGAGACTATGTATCTATCTATGTATCTATGTATCTATCTATCTATCTATATCTATCGATCAATCGATCAATCTATCTATCTATCTAGTCATGCATCTAATTATGTATGTATATATCTATCTATCTATTCATGTATCTAATTATTATGTATCTATCTATCTATCGATCTATCTATCTACTTATCTATCTATCTATGTATTTATATATTTATCTGTCTATCTATGTATCTATGTATCTATCTATCTATATCTATCTTTTTAAATTTCTATCTATCTATGTATGTATCTATTTATATATTTATCTGTCTATCTATCTTTCGACCTCTGTTTATCTATCTATCTATCCATCTATCTATCTATTTATCTATCTATTTATCTACCCATCGATCTTTCTATCTATCTATCTATGTATGTATCTATCTATCTATTAATATATTTATCTCTCTATCTATCTGTCTATCTATCTATCTATCTGTCCTTCCATCCATCCATCTATCCATCCATCTATCTCTATCTATCTATGTAACATATTATTTACAGATGTTACATAAATTAGTTAGAGACGCGGAGTGCGGCTAGACAAAGGGTTGTTTTGGTGGTAGTCTATGTATACAGAGCGTCGCTGTATCACACCGCGTAGTCTTGTTCTGTGTTCCCGCCCTGTATGTGTGAAGGGTCACATGGTCTGATCGTGGTAGTTGGAAAATAGCGGAATAACAAGTCTACGAATAAACTATGTGTGTTATTAGCTCATCTGACATAGTCAGATGCAGCTTGTAGAATCGCACGATCGTCCGTGCGTGCGTGCGTCCGGCCGTCCGTGCGTCAACAGTTGGGCACAAATCTTAACCGCTCGACGTACGGTCACGATATTCGGCACATCGGGGGGGGGGGATCGTCAAAACGAGTTGGGATGTCGAAGCTGGGGGTCAAAGGTCAAAGGTCAAGAGGTGTAAAAGAAGGGGGAACATTCACTCCTTAACTTAAGGTATAGGGAGGAAATGCAGAATTGCGGCACAAATCTAAACAGCTCGACCTAGGCTCGTGATAGTCGGTGTATAGCATCATGATAGGAAAAGCCATCACTGTGCCGAAATTGGAGGTCACAGGTCAAAGGTCAATGGGCACAGGGCAGATTTTAGACATTTTCTGAGGACATGGTCTGACGGAGCGATTGTTTGTTTCAGCGGTGACCTAGCATTTTTATGGCTTTATTGAAAGGACCATGCAATGTCCCTTCTGCTGACATGCGAAGAGTAAGTGTCGGATAACCTTTTGACCCTCAATATGAGGGTTGAACATGGATTTGTTTACTGTCTGTTAGAAAGAATTTGACTGCCGGGTTTGCTAGTAGAATCTATAAATGCCTGGATGTATGAGGCTACAATGTCACAGTGAAATTTCAAAAGATACGAAGAGGGAGAGAGGAAGAGAGATGTAGAAGGCGAGAGAGGAGGACAGATTTAGAATGGAGGGAAGAGAGGAGGAGAGATATAGAAGGGGAAGTGGTGACAGCGAAACAGAGATTATAGAAAGGGGGGGGAGAGAGAGAGAGAGAAGAGAGAGAAAGAGAGGAAAAAAAAGAGAGAGAGAGAGAGAGAGAGAGAGATAGTATCAGATGCATGGTGGCGTGTGGCGAACTCTTTACCTATTTGCTCTATATTAGTTAGCGTCGATGAAATTTCGATCGATCTCGATATTAACAAGATATACCCACAGGCACTTGGACTAGTCAGTAAAACTGGAAATAATATGAGACGGCACATTCCACAAATAAGGCCTACTACCGTACCTCTCTGTTTACAGTTCCACTGTTGCGTCACTGTGATATTCAACTTTCCTTACATAAAAAACCTATGTAAAAACTAACGCCTGAACGCATCCGCGGCACTCCGCCGCTGCGAGTGGCTGTGTCTGCCATGCGAATATATATATAATAAGTATACAGAACTAATAATGACAATCATATTATTTTCAGTTTTGTAGTTTATTCAAGTGCCTTGGCTAAGCCGTTCAGATTTAGTGGGCGCGACGCGACGACGACGCCACGACGAACGACGATGATGATGATGATGAGATCGATTGATGATAATGATATGGTGGTGATCGACATGCTAGCTAGTGTTGGCCTCGTGATGCTGCGCGATCATCATAACGACGACGAGGATGATGATGAGGCGATGAACGCAACGATGACGATTGCGTACGACAACCACTGATTCTACTTACCGACAAAGATTGACGACGTTGACCTGATGACGACGTTGACGATGATGACAGTTGACGAATGACGACGTGCGATGACGACGCGATGATGACGACCGAATGAGGATTACTTTATCATGTTGATGCTTCATTCCCATCTCCATATACGGTGGTGTGTATGGCTTTTACTCGTAACGTACAGAATCTGTTGATGGTCGCTGACTAAGATCTCTCCCACTCGTGTCTATGGCAACCAGTGAAACCCTGTACGATAACAAACTGAACCCCCAATCCACCATCTATCATCACGATATATATAATATATAATTAACAACTACGCAGCCCCAACCATCATCTTCATTCATATATATATATATATATACTAACTAGCACCCCCAACGCATCATCTTCTCATAATATATAATATATATACAACTAACCCCCAACCACCATCTTCATCATAATATATATATATATAACAACTAACACCCCCAACCACCATCTTCATCATAATATATATATATATATAACAACTAACACCCCCAACCACCATCTTCATCATAATAATTATATATATAACAACTAACACCCCGCTAACCATCATCTCATTCAATAATATAATATAATAACAACTAACACCCCCAACACACGCATCTTCATCATAATATATATATATAATAAACTAACACCCCCCCAACCACCATCTCATCATAATATATTATAATTAGTATATATATAACAACTATAACACCACCAACCACCACTCATCATTAATATGATATGATATATAACAACTAACCCCCAACCCCCATGCTTTTCATCATAAATATATATATATAACAACTAACCCCCAACCATCAATCTTCCATCATAATATATATATATTACTAACAAACTAACACCCCCCAACCATCATCTCATCAAATATATATATATAAAACAACTAACACCCCCCAACCATCCATCTTCAATCAATGAATATAATATATATGAGTCACTAACTAACACCCCCCAACCTACCATCTTCATCATAATATATATATATATTATATATAAAACTAACCCCCCCCTCAACGCATCATCTTGCATCATAATGATAGTATATATATAACAATAACACTGCCACAACTATCATCTTCCTCATAATATATATATATATAACAACTAAGACGCCCCCCCAAACCCTCATGCTTCATCATAATATAATATATAAACAACTAACCCCCCCAATCCATCATCTTCCCATCATAATATTATATGTATATAGATATATATATTAACAACTACAACACCCCACCATCATCTCATCATAAATATATATATATATATATATATATATAACAACTAACACCCCCAACCATCATCTTCATCATAATATATATATATATAACAACTAACACCCCCAACCACCATCTTCATCATAATATATATATATATAACAACTAACACCCCCAACCACCATCTTCATCATAATATATATATATATATACGAACTTAAACCCCCCAACCATTCATTCTTCATCATAATATAATATATATATACAATCTAACACCCCCAACCATCATCTTCATATAATATATATATAATATATATATAACAACTAAACACCCCGTCCAACCATCATCTCATGCCATAATTATATATATACTATATTATATATATATAACCTAATCCCCCCAACCATCATCTTCATCATAATATATATTATTTTATATAACAACTAACATGCCCCCCAATCGCATCATCTTCATCATAATATATAATATTAATATACCAACTAAACACACCCCCCATACGCATCATCCTCATCATAATATATATATTAATATAATATATAACATACTAACCCCCCCAACCATCATGCTTCATCAAACCATATATATATAGTAACAACTATAACACCCCCCAACATCATCTCATCATGATCTAGTTATATATATATTATATTAGCAACTAATCCCCCGCAACGCATCATATTCATCAAATAATGATATATATAGTATATATATATATATATAGTATATATAGCAACTAACCCCCCAATCCATCATCCTTCATCATAATATATTATATATATAAAACTAACCCCCGCCGACCAACCATCATCTTCATACATAATATATATATTATATATATATATATACAACTAACGCCCCCGAACGCATCTAATCTTTCATCATAAATGATATATATATATAACAACTAACCCCCAACCATCATGCTTCATCATAATATAGTATATAATAACAACTAACACCCCCAACCACCATCTTCATCATAATATATATAATATATTAACAACTAACACCCCCGAACCATCATCTTATGCAGGATATAATATTATATATAACAACTAACCCCCAACGCACCATCTTCAATCATAATATATATATCTATTATACTAACTAACACCCCCACCATCATCGTTCATCCACGATATATATATATATAACAACTACAGCCTCCCCCAACCACCATCTTCATTCATAAACTATATATATATATATATATAACTAACTAAACCCCCCCCCAACCATCATCTTTCAATCATAGATATTATATACTATATAACAACTAACACCCCAACCACCATGCTTCAATCATAATATATATCATATAATACAACTAACCCCCCAACCATTCATCTCATCATTAATATATATATAATATAACAACTAACCCCAGCCCAACCACCATTTTCATCATAATATATAATTATTATTTATTATTTATTTTTTAATTTTTATTATATAATTAATTTATAGTAACAACTAACACCCAACATCATCTGTCAATCAGCGGATAGTATATATATATAACAACTAAACGCCCCCAACCATCATCTCCATCATAATATAATAATATATATATATATATACAACTAACACCCCCCAACCACCATCTCAAATCTAATAATATATATATATAACAACTAACACCCCCAACCACCATCTTCATCATAATATATATATATATATATATAGTAAAACTAAAACCCCAACCATACCATCTCTATCATAATATATATATATATATAACAACTAACACCCCCCACCATCATCTCATCATAATAATTATATTTATATATATAATAACAACTAACACCCCCAACCATCATCTCATCATAATATATATATATATAACAACTAACCCCCCAACCATCATCTTCATCATAATATATATATATATTATATATAACAAACTAACCCCACCCCACCACCATCTTCTCATAATTATATATCTATATAGTATAACAACTAACCCCCAACCACCATGCTTCATCATAATATTATATATATATATATAAGCAATACCCCCCCCCCCAACCTATCATCTTTGTATCATTATAGTCTATATTATTATTGATTATATTAATTAATTATTATAAATAGTATTATTATTATATATATTATTATAGTTATTATTATATAATATATATATATATATATATAATATATATATATATATATATATATAATTATGATTTATATATATTATATATTATATTATTATTATTAATTTATTATTATTATAGGATGCATTATATTTGTCGTATTATTATCCTTTGCTATTCTAAGGCCAAATATTAAGGCACCAAGTCGGTAGACGTCACGGTGTGGATGACAAAAAGGTGAATTGGGAATTGCACAAGCAGAGTGTGGGAGAACTACTCCAACTCGCATCCAGTTAGAGCACCCGCCACAGCGAGTACAGGCGTTGCACGAGTTGTCAAATAGTTTAGGTCCGGACGACATTGCGCATGCTACACTGGTTTTAGGCGGAGTACCAGTGATATAAGTACAGGATATAATCTCGAAACTGGACTCTTATTGCATTGGTCAGACCAACGGGCAGTAGCACATTATTTGTTCTCCGCACGTGACCAACGTAAGGAGGAGTCTGTAGACATGTGGCTATCCGACCTCAGGACAAAACAAAAGGTCATCACTTGGACACACCGCAACATGAAGCTGAACAATTAGCTTGGAGAAATCGGATAATCTGTGGCATTCTGGATAAGGATGCGCAACAGAAAATGCTGAGTGAAGGCAACCCGGATTTAAACAGAGTGATTGAATCGCCAAAGCCAGCGAGGCAACCCGGCAGTACTGAAACCATAGGTAAACTACAGAGTGCATAGGTGTCACACCGACATGAGGCATCACACAGACCTGATCGTCAGAAACAGCAACGAAAGGGACAGCGATCAAGTGAACCCCGGGAGGCGGAATGCATATACTGTAACAGACGCCATGTAATGTGAAGGAGAAATGCCCTGCTTATGGAAGAGTGCAACGTCTGCCGCAAAGCCAATCACTTCCACGGGTCTCGCAAATGCGTGAAAAGTAAACGCGTGCATGCCATGGATGATTTCGAAGAACGGAGCGAGTGCTCGGAGTCAACGGATGATGAGTTCATTGGCAAAGTAGAGGGCTCAGTGGAGACACCCACAAACAAGTCTTATACTGTGAGATGCTAGTTTGGGACGGTCAGGGATACACTAACCCGATAAAGTTACAGATAGACTGTGGTGCTACAAGTCAACGTTGTCCCAAAGAAATATATTCCAAGTCCGTACAGGTGATCAAAACTGATGTTACGCTGTCTATGTGGAATAAGACTGCAGTAACCCCACTAGGCGAGTGTGCGTTGAAACTGAAAAACCCCAAGACAGGCAGGAAACACAACGTCAGGTTCATAGTGGTTTCCGAGAAGCTTAGACCTCTGCTTAGTAGACTGGCAGCAGAAAAATGGGGCTCATTACCATTAACTATATGATGTTCAAGTCGGTTAATGCAGTGACCGGGGCTATATCTGGAGGATGCCCCAGAGTGTTCGTGGAGGACTGGGAAAAATGCCAGGAACAGTACACCTGGTAGTGAAAGAAGATATTTCCCACAACTATCTGTCCTCCACGGAAAGTTCCAGTGCCAATGAGGACAAGGTCAAAGCAAAGCTGAAGGACATGGAGTCCAAAGGTATCATCGAGAAGATGGACGAACCCAGTGACTGGGATAGCCAAATGGCAGTGACCGTGAAGAAGAATGGGGACCTTAGGATCTGTATAGATCCGAGACCTTTGAATAAGGCACTCAAGAGAGAGCATTTCCCCATGCCGGTCCTGGATGACATACTACCAGACCTTTCAAAGGCACGAGTTTTCAGCCGTCTCGATTTGCAAGATGGTACTGGCACTGTGTTGGATGAGAAATCCAGCAAGTTGACGACCTTCCAAACGCCACCTTGGGCGCTATAAATGGAAGCGCCGTCCGAACCATTTGGGTTAAACGTGAGTG